CCTTAAAAATCTCAGGAGTAAACCTGTCAGGGCCTGCTGCTCTCCTTCACTTCAGATTTCCTATGGCTTTTCCAACTTCGTAAAGAGTCGGAGGACCTACACTAACTTGCCATTCGGGTTGACTGGAGATCGTGGGAAACCGAAGTGTGGCTGAAGGCCAGTTGAACTGATCCCTAGTGTTCTGCCCATCGATCCAATCTCCTGGATTGAGAATGCATATGTCCATCTTTCTCTGAGAGTGTTTCTCTAACGGTCGGGTTCCTAATACCGGTTTCCTTAACGAGTCTGAACAATTGTCTGCTATTACCTATTGCCGCTGCCTTTTCCATCTCTCTTGCTTTCGCTACCAACCACTGTTTGCGATCATTGCGTAGACTTCTTGTCAGCTTGCGCATGGGCTGACTCCGCTCTTCATTATGTTCAGAGACAGGTGGAATGAGTTTCCGAGCATCTATCAGCCATTCACAATGGAAAAACGAAATCTTGAAATACAATACAGCGATCATCAGCAAAATCACACTTGACGGTTGGGTTTCTTTACATATCTCGACAATGTCATTGATAAACAAAGGTGATCTGATGCGGATGTGACGGCACGGATTGGCGAAACAATGGTAGCATTCTTATAATTCAGAATACTCAACATAAACATCGAGACAGTTCTTTTGTACGGAGCCGAATCATGGAGACTATTATAACGATCATCGAAGATGTACAGGTGTTTTCAATTAGCTGTCTGTTCAAGATACTCCAGACCGACTGACCAGAGATAATCAGAAACAACCGACTGTGACAAAGAACAGACCAGCTTCCTGATGACGAGGACATTGGGAAAAGACGCTGAAGTTGGATAGGACACACTTTACTTAAATCATCAAACAGCATCACAACACACACCCCAACTTGAAATGCTCAGAGCAAAATGAAGAGGCAGACCAAAGAACAGATGGCGCCGAAAATCGTAAGCATGCATTGAGAGTATGAATAGCATTAGGAACGACTGGAAACGAAAACCCAGGACAGAGTTACTAGGATATCCATCGTCGACTGCGTATGCTCTATGATTAATAATAGGTATAATTTAGTATAATTTAAGTCCCAAATTTCAACTGAGAATGTATGAATGTAACGAAGTCGTACCATATCGGACGTCAAACTGGTATCATTAATGAGATCAGTAGATCATTATTCTGTATCAGATAAAAAACGAATCTCGAAATGTAGAATGTTTCTTATTACTCCCTGGTTTTTCATGGTTATCTAAATAATTAATTCATTAAGTAACTCTAAACCCATATCTAAATAACAAAATATTGGTAACTTTATCATAATGAATTTGTAGTGCCACTTTTAAAAGCTCATTTAATTTTAATCACAATCATTTCTTTTTAATCTTTTTGTTTGTTGTTTAGTGAATAATTTTGAAGACTCAAACTGATTGACTGTTTATTTACTCAATTGTATGAACGAAGAATATTCTTCTCAATAAATTCTCATCAGGTTCTACAATTATAAATCCAGATTAATAATCCGTAAAATTGGCCAGATTTAAGGCAAAATACATCATTCGGAAATTGTAATATGTGAATCAGGAATTGTTGTTTGTTATATAAATCAAATCGTTAATGTTGGGATGACTAATATGAAGTGTTAACTTGAATCACTTTATAAGCGAAACAAAATTGTGAGATAAATTATCAGAATAAATATGGTCAACATGGGGTAAGAGAGAGAGAGCGAAAGAATATTGTGATCACAAATCGGAAATTACGTAATATGTAAAATAATTAGGTCAAATATAGTAGATTCAGGGGTGGATATTGAATAAATTCCTCAAAAAGGGGTTATCAAGTGTATGGACAATAATAATAATAATAATAATAATAATAATAATAATAATAATAATAATAATAATAATAATAATAATAATAATAATAATAATAATAATAATAATAATAATAATAATAATAATAATAATAATAGTAATAGTAATAACAGTAATAATAATAATAATAGTAATAATAATAAGTTTGGGACGTAAAATGAACATTATTCAGATTACGTCACCACATTATAAAATTGATTATTAGTTAGTTGACCAGGGTAAAAGGAGTGGCTGAACATACTTCTTTTGGATACAAAATTCTGGCTTTTTGATCCGAATAGCAATTGCTTCAGCCGTCTGTAGGATTCGCAGTCCGACGGAAATAGGTAGACTACTGTTGACTCGATAGATTATTGCAAAAGATTGCTCCATGTTTGCTGTATGTCCTGTTTGGACTAAATGGTCTAAGATGGACCAAACCATCCAGATCAGAGAACAAAACTCCACCAAAATCATCCACCTGAGCTACAAATCTTCTCCACCATCTCAAGTTTTGACAACACCTTTGCTTAACCACACGGGTAGGTGCTCACGAGCCCGAATGTACAAATCCCTAAAACATCTGCCAATATAACTTGCTCCACAGGAGCAGTTGAATTGATAGATACTTCTTTTTTAATCACTTAAAATGAAATATATATACTGTGTGCAAAACGTCAGCATATCACAAACATTAAAATCTGACTACTAACATCACGAATTGTGAAACAGTTTTTGTTAAAACCTCAAATAACAATATAAATCAAGTGATTAACTGATCAGAAGGAATATCTACTTTGCTTGATCTATTTCTTGTAGATTGTTTTCAGGGAGGATAGGAGGTAAGTTAGGTTTCAAATAGATTTTCGTTTCAAACATTGAAATTTTAAAGTTATTCAATAATCACTCATAAGTCCTACTCAATTGCTACATTACAGAACATTTGGGGCCGAGAATATTAAGCAAGCATTGAGGTTATGAATAGCATTAGCGAACAACTGGAAAAGAGCGCGGGACAGATTAACGGGAAAAAAATGCCAGGGCAAAATTCAATAAATGTTGCTCGTTGGCGACCTAATCTATCAGAGGTCAACCATACTATTTTGATTGAACGCTTCCTATGTTAATGAGTGATTGATGATAGAGATCACTTTACTCTTTGCTAACCTCCATAGATAGACTTCTAGTAGGATAGCATATAAAACCCGACACCTTGTCTAGCGCTTCTTAATGAATGTTCACTTAAGTTCAGTAAGTTTACAGAACTTTTTAGTAATCATTCCTCACTTATTGAATCTTGAGTTAAGGATTGGTAAAATCAGTCAAATACTATATAGTTCCACTTGGTCACCCTAATGATTATATCAACCATAAGTTTGAAACATCTCTCTCGGAATTTTACAGAAATCATTGTGAACTAGCATATTTTTAACGATCGAGTTTGTTGTCTGCCGATATTTAAGAACATTACTTTTCATAACCCTATTTACTGAAGTGGCATCACTGATGAGCACGGCGGGTTTGATGCAGATGTGAAGACGCGAACGGCAAAGCAAGAGCAGCATATCTACAACTGAAGAACACTTGGAACTCAAAACAACTGTCAACCAACACCAAAGTCAGAATTTTAAATACAAATGTCAAGACAGTTCTATTGTATGGGGCGGAAACATGGCGAACTACGAAATCCATCATCCAGAAGATAAAAATGTTGATTAACACTTGTCTACGCAAAATACTTAGGATCCGCTGGCCAGAGACTGTCAGCAACAACGCGCCATGGGATAGGACAAACTAGGTTCCAGCGGAGGAAGAAGCGCTGGAGGTGGATAGGACACACATTGAGGAAACTGACCAACTGTGTCACAAGACAAGCTCTCATTTGGAATTCTCAAGGTCAAAGAGGGAGAAGAAAACAAAAGAACACTACGCCGAGAAATGGAGAAGAATGGACAACAATTGCATAGGACTAGAAAGGAAGGCCCAGGACAGAGTGGGTTGGAGAATGCTGGTCAGTGACCTATGTTTTATTGGGGGTAACAGGCGTAATTATTTACTGAAGCAACACCCTTCACTACATACTACTAAGCGTAAAACTAACTACGAATACGATTGCACAACTTTATGTTAATTATGTCGTGAAAAGTTTCTTCGCTGGAGAGCTTTTTACCAGGAGCGTCAAACCGAATGAGGCCGCTAGCCAATGCGACCATCATGGCCGACTATAGAAGAAGTGATTCATTTTTTGAAACTGACACACGCTATTCAGAACTGTTAGTGGATAGTGATATTAACTACTGTCGCTTTTGCTGGCTGAATACAACACGAACATGGCCGTTTTGGAGCAGGCATAGAGGTACTTGAGATTTGAGACAAAAACGCCCAGCAGTGGATTAAGATCTCTGGAAATATGTGCCAAAAATGTTCAGTCGTTTATTATTATAGCATGGAATATTGACTCAAACAAATACCTGCCTTCGATCCTCAAAAGCCCTAGTTAGTTAGTTACAAGAACTACTGGCTAAATGTCTTATTTTTACAGTTATGTTGGAATCATGTAACTAGCTCAAAGTAGATTAGTTTAACATGTACATTCTTCCATTAATTAAAAAAACTACTTGTTTATTTACAAAAATTTAGTTGGCAACGTCTCCAAGCAGTTAACAATTATTGTCTCTTACTCGACTTCTAAAATCAATGTTTGTTAGCTTGGTTTCATGGTGATATCCGTAACTTGATAATGTATTTTGTTGATTTATTTAGACTTAGGTAGCTACACACTAAAGCTGTTAAGATATATACAGTGTAATGCACCTACTGCTGGATAACAAATCTCATCTCATATTAGAATCTAAAAACCGAACTTTTACTTTGAAGTCATGATTGAGATTCCCAAGTGGTCCAAAAATGCAGTCAACTGTACCTTATTGGATGAAAACTTGGAGTGTATTATTGTTATATACTCCTACACAATTGTCATCAAACCAAAGGAGTTGGTAATCTAAAAAGAAATTCTTTAGAACCGATCAAAGTAATCCTAAACAGCTCAACGTGAATTAGCAGAAATTAGAATACATGGTCCTTCTACAATGTGAACAATTATATCCCCTGTATGGAATGCGACAACAGCATAATGATTTTGGTATAATTTTAAAAAGGACTGATCGACACTTACGAAAGTGTTGAGATTTACATTAAGTATAATTTGGCTGACGACAACTATAAAGAAAAGTGGAAGTGCCAGTGCATAAACTTTCTAGAGGAAATCACTTTGACGAACCCATATATTTTTCACTAAGAATGAGAGAACATTGGACAAATAATAGTAGGATGCTTGATCTATGATACAGTACATTACACTGACGAGGAAACGTCAACCAACTGACCGTGTAGTAGGACAGAAAAACAAACAAGGAAGCTAAAGTTCACTAAGAAAATTTTGGCAATTGCTAAAAACGCAACAGCCTGAAAAGATTGTTAACTTTTTCCCTCAAAAAACGATATATATATATATATATATATATATATATATATATATATATATATATATATATATATATCAAATCTGTCCACTGGTAGTATGAGAGAACAAAGATGTTATAGTAATCAAAATTACAGATTATAACAAAAGGAGATTTCAGAGGTTTTGTTGTAAAGGGAAACGAGCAGAAAGGTAATATGGATATGATTTGATTACAGTTAAATGAATGAATGTTAATTAGTAACAGTATGGAAAAAAACAACAAAGCTTCACTACAATTTGAGAGTGGCTAAGACAGAGGTATACCATTCATGTATAATAGTTTGTTCAAGTTATAATAACAATAATAATAACTATAACAATAATACGCAAACCACAGCAGAATCAGGTGAGTACGAAAGACAAGCATTTAATAGAGGCAATATAAAAGTGAGGTTTATTTTTGAATATAATGGCCTCCAATTGAAACTAGTACAACACAAGAAAATTGTAATCGAAAATTTATTTATATAGAATGGCAGCATCAAAAAGTTGACTTGCAGAAAATTAAACACACTAGAATTAACAACATAATGAATAGATGGAACAAATGATTGCAACTCTATCAGGAATTAGACTGACAAACCAACTGCATTCAAGATTACTTTAGGATTATCAGAAGAATCATGTGCAACGAGAGATCAGGTATAAATAAATCTGATCGATTTCGAACAAAAAGCTGTTTTTAGGCTTCAATATATATATATATATATATATATATATATATATATATATATATATATATATATATATATAAACATGCTAACAATATGAACGACTACTTTGCAACCGGGAGACAACCCTGAAATCTACACACATTAAATAAACAGGACGCAAAGAGAGAACAAGTAGAAGATCGATACTGATAGCGAGCATAACTACAAAGAATCCTGATCATTTTCGTCATAATAATATGAACGACCTTGCGATTTGCTAAATTTATTAACTACAATTCGTAGAAATGAATAAACAAGGAAAGAAGCATATTTTATTCAGTCGAAAAAGAAAACGAACAGACAGTAAGGAGTTATCAATCCAAAAGTCAAGAGCAGTTTACGTTTTAAATTACCTCTTCACGTTAAGTATGTGGTGTGAAAACTCCCGATGGCAACAGAACCAACAACAACAACTAATTACCACCACTAGGCTTTAATGTAGGATATTGTTCTTGGTAGTACGGTTGTGCAGTCGATGGGTTGACACCAGGGAATGCAGTGCTAACTTGAGGACATACCCAACGATTTGAGCCAGCTGTTGATACACCAGGGATTCCACTTAAGATACCGGAATTTCCGCTACCATTGCCACCGCCACTATTCCAAGGATATATATTTGCCATTGCCGCCATAGCTGCAGCCATTATTGATTGTTGATGCTGGTGTCCTGCCACTCCATTAACAGCAGGTAAAGTGTTTGGAAGCATAGCTGAATTGTTATAGATGTTCATGTCATTTGGATTACAAGGAGGAACTTTCATGGGTGGACAGGTGACAGGATAGTTATTATTTATGTTGTTAGTAGGCCACATGGGAGGAGGCCAGTTAACTGGTGAATTTACTGTCCCAGAAACACCACTAACTAAGTTTGAGTGTTGTTGTTGTTGCTGCTGCTGCTGCTGCATCCAATTCATCGTAAACGCCATTAACAAATTATTAGCATTGGAATTAACGGAACATTGTTGAGGAGAAGGAGCTTGTGGATGCATCGTCGCTAGGGGATTGGCTACAACCGGAGCTGCTGAGTTGACAGGCCCAGCTAGATTATTATTGCTCGACATATTGGGATAAACTATACTCGAAGAAGTGACAGACGTGAGAGTGTTGGCTTGTCGGCGACGTTCAGCACCGATTGGTTGTATAGGAACGGGTTGGTTTTGAACAGGACCTTGTGCCGCATTTGATGGAATACCTAACGGGACTCCAGCACCTACTGTCGGAGTACACACTGTTCCAATATGGGATGAAGAACTGAAACCTAGGTTGAAAGTATGGCAAGAAAAGAAAAGCCATTATATTAACGAAAATGTGTAGTGTAGTGTAGTGATGAAAAGAACCAAGCAAAATGAAATGTAAAACTAGTCCTTATCTCAACTGACCGACTAGATAACACAAGCGTAGGATTAATGCATAACTAAAATCTCCAGAAAAAGATATGGTTGGTGAATAAAAGTGGTAAAACAGGCCAAGAAATTTATGACACAACGGCTAATAATAATGATATTAAGTGATGTCTATAATTCATATGAATAGCTATCGAACGATTTACTTTAATATGACAAATCACTCACGAAATTGAATATTTTTTAGTTTGGGTTTCTATAGAATAACACAAGAACTGAAAAGCTACACAACATATGTTTTTTTAACGCGGACAAGGGTCAACGTAATGTTATTTATTAGCTACAATCTTAGCACAGAAACGAATCTTCTTGCAACTACAGTAATGTGGTATAAAACAACCAGAAGAGTATATTGTGCTTAGAACTGATAAAACACTAACTTACTAAACAAATTCACGCCCAAGTAAAAGAACATAAAAGTTTAAATTAAGTGGAAATGTATAAAGAAAGTCAGATATGTTGATTTTAATGACGGGATAAGCAAATGAAGTGTAATCCAGTAAGTGAGCACACGTCTTACACTGCCAGGCTGGTTAACAGTACTAATCAACTGAACAAAAAAACTTGAAGAAGCAAGTATAATTGATGCGCACTAGTTAATTGTCTGTACGGATGAATAACAATGTTGTTTTCATCGAAAAAATGTTCACATACAACCACTTATAACTTTGAAGAAGATAGATGTTGAAGCCTACTGAACGAACAATTGTAATGCACTGTTCTATGTAATGTTAAAATTAGGATATACATCAGAAGTGTTGTTCAGCAAACGTCACATAAAAATTTTGCTGTAAACACTCTACTACTACAAAAACTTTTAGTCAAGTATTAATCGTGCAAAGGGCTGAAAATATATCAATTAAAAAAAGTCTTTACCGTTAAGCAAATGAGATGTATAGTTTGTATTTGGATGGACGACTGATGTAGCACTACACACAGGTTGGATGCTAGGTTGAACATAACCGGTCATAAAAGGAGGAGGAGTGTAAGATCCACCTGGACCAGATGAACACATAGACAATTGTGTTTGATTAATCATAGGATGTGATGAATTACCCAAACGAGTTGATAATCCACTTGTGGTCTGTTGATTTAAGGCTGAAATAGTACCTGGGCCTAAAGAAAGTTGCTGTTGTAACGGGAATGACTGTTGTTGAGTCATAGGGAAAACGGAAGAAAATTGATTATTCAAAGGCATTGAAGAAGTCGATGGAGAACAAAAACCACTTGGAAAACCATTTAATGCTGTAGATCGTGATTCTAAATATGCAGAGGTACCAGACATTGGAGGCTTGAACCGGAAAGATGCATTTAGGGGAGTATTTGTTGAGGATGTTGGCAACATACTTTGCGTGTTTGAAATGTTTAAACCTGAAGAGCAATTACTAATCTGAGTTTGTTGATGAGCGGACTGTAAATATGATAATCCAACAGGATTCGATTTCTGGAGAGATGCTTGTGTGACCATTTGACGCAAGACACCAGATTGAGCTCCTTGGGTAGAGTATTGATCTTGAAATTGATCAGATACAGAGTGATTAGAGAAGTCATTTCGGAGTAAGGAAGCCTGAATTAATGAGTCAGCTGATTCAGCACTAGCCTTCAAGTTTGGTACGACTTGGTTAAGTGTTTGGAACGATGGTTGGAAACCTATTGAGTTGGGATTCAAATCGGGTCTCGAAGCAGACCATAATATTGGCATAGAGTGGAGAGAACCGATAGGATCGCGCGTTTGTGATACGTTTGTAACAACTGGGACAGAGTCCATAGCTGAGTGACTGTCGATGATCGAACTATTGACACTAGTGGACGTAATTGTTAGTGTGTTGGAGGCTACTGAGAACGTAGTGTTCTTCACAAATGCAGAAGACAATGGTGCAGGAGCTGCAGACGAGTCAGAAGTTTGCCATTCACATGACCTATCAGGTCGAAAATGATTTGAGATTGGATCATGACGAAAATCAGGATTGTGAATGTCTGAAGCGATAGCACGCTTTGTTGGTGTGAAAAGTGTAGTGTCATTAACACCGCCGTTTACGGAAACATTTGTGTTACCATTGACATCCAAGGATAAAAGCGATGGTGGGAAGGAATCGTTTAGACTAAGGGAGACGGAAGTAGCTGTTACATTTGCATTTCTTTGATGCGCGCTGCGTTCAGAACCCGGAGCCCTAGCAAATGACTTTGTTTGAGTTGTAGTTGTAGGCGGTGTAGAAACATAAGCTGAAGTGTGTGTGTTACCGGAACCCATTGGAGTATTCGACTGAGAAGTCTGCATAACTCCACAAGTAGGAGAAACTGTCAAAGGTCCATAATTAGACGGTGATGTGGTAGGAAGCGTTGTTAGGGGGAATGAATTTGAGACAGATGCTGTATGAACTGTAGAAACGGGACTGTCAAATACACTAATGGAAAGCATGTATGTTAAGTCACCAGATGAGGTATTTATCTTAAGTTTATCCATTCCAAACGAAATGCCTTCGACAGGACAATTTACAGACGAAGAGGAAACATGTGTGTTAGATAAACATGACGGATTCCTCATATTTGACACAGTTACTGCCGGTATTGTTGTTGTCGTGGCTGTTCTCAATTGAGTAACTTTGGTGGATTTAGAAGGATTCAAGGGTGGAAAGCTAACTTCATCTAAAGAATCAGTACAGAAATCGCCGACATTAGAAAGCGATGGAATAAAATCTGGAAACATTTGGCTACTCGATGGAAACGGAGATAAATTGAGAGATAGTAACGAAACAGGAGTTGTTGTTGATAATGACAAAGCTGGAGCCGGTGCAGTCATTAAGTTTTGAACGGTAGTTTTTGACTGACTGCGAACACTTTTTACTATCTGGTTGTCTACTGGCTTAACGAGGCGCGATGAATGAGTACTTATTCCTGCCGCAGCAACGGAAGCGAAGTTACCCTTTGAAGAGCTGGTATTTGAGACTTTAGAACTCCAACTCGTTGATCCAGAAGTTGTTTTCAGACCGGAAGATATCAAAGGAATCAAAATAGCTGTTGTACTTGAAAACGTGCTATTGCTACTGTTATTAGAGATGGATATTGCGGGTGTTTTTGTGGGTTTTGGGACTACGGGAAGCGGAGTTGGTTGAGTTGAGGTAGATCGAGTTGTATTTGCAGCTACGGGATTAGTTACAGATTTTCCAGTTCTACGAGGAGTTCTGTTACTTGGGTTGATAACCTTAACACTAGACAACCCGCTTTTAATTGTATTCTGGACTGACACACTAGTTGCACCATTCAACCTAGAAGTAAGAGAGCCTAAAGCAGTACCAGAAAGCGACATGCTTGATGGTAGAGTAGAAGACTTTTTTAAAGCGTGATACATTAGTAGGACATCATTGCCAGCAATTGAACCGTCGAGAAGTCCCTGAATCGTTTCATAAGTTCGCTGGACAGCTTCGCTGGGACCTTTCAAATAGACCATACGCTCTGTTACTTCATCACTTCGCGCACTTTCGATATCTATTTGAATCCCACTCATATTTCTTAGGGCACTAACAACTGCTCCACCTTGACCTATGACTTTCCCAATATCATGCCTCGAAACAGGAATTGAAAGTCGACGTTTATAAGAATTGTTGCTAGAGTTGGTAGTCTTCCAATCAGCCATCTCATTACTTACACGCGAAGAAACGTGTGTACTCACTGTAGTGCGTTGAGATCGCGTACTGTTAGATGGTACGACTACAGTCCATGTATTTGAATCACTGACAACATTCGAACTTTTACCCATATTAAAATACTGACCAAAATGAGCACTTTGGGACTCGATGAGCAAGTTCCAGTTTTCACTATCTCCACTTGGAGAAAGAGCGTAACAAGGAGAGATTGAGGAATTAATAGGGTCCTGAATTTCTGGGCTGGGTGATTTACTGACTTTATCCAAATCGAAAGCAGTGTTATTTTCGGCAGCTGCACGTTTTGCTGCTCGTTGGCTTTGTTTCTTGTTTCGATGTTTTTCACGTTTGGCTTCTGTTACAGCCGCAGCATTCGATTCAGCTTCTTGTGAACAAAAACTGTTATCAACAGAATCAGAATCGTGTTGAACATTGGATTTTTCAACATTAGTTATGGAAGCATCAGAATTAAGATGTACATCTTTTACAATCTGTTGATTAAGTTTAGTAGACTCTGGTGACATTGGTACAACAGTGACAAGTGAATCAGAGGGATTACGAAAGGCAGAACATTGCTTGTCATCTACATCATAAATTATACCATCTGACAATTGGTTACATAGTGAGGATTCTTGGGCATGTTGTAGGACACGTGATAGTGTTGGACTATGTTCAACTCTGAAAAACAAATAATAATAAACAAATAAATAGCATTGCAGTGCTAAAGCAGAAAAAATGCCCATTTATAAATAAAGTTGATACAAAACTTGGAATTGCGCCAAGTTGAAACCAAAACATACAATTTGATACACCAAGTTGTAGTTGAAAGGTTTTACGGGTTTCATGGTTAAACAATAATTTGCCGACATGGCGATGTATTTAACCATCTGAAGTTAAAGGACCATAACATAACGTCCTCGAATAGTTACGGATAGCTGCTCAACATTTGGATTCGCATAAAATGTTATCTAAATGAAACAAAGATCAACTGTTCATGTATTTTTACAATCATACAAAGACTTTACCTTATCTATCCAATAATGGTGGTTTAAGCTTAAAAAGAATCTCTGGAATGTCACACTCAAATTCATTTTTTGGGATTGAAAGTGTAACAAATCTCGCTGATTAAAAACTTGAATGTTCATGCATGAAAAGACATTAACTTTACAGAGGCTCAAAGAGTACTCTAGTATCATTGGATTTTAAATTTTCAAGGTTAGCTATACCAGTAGTTGCATATAAGATGACATACACAGAAGCTTCGTATACAGGATTAAGAATAAAAATATACGATGGAATCAAAGGATAGCAGCGAACCAATCAAACATAAGGTACCGCTTCATGAATTTTGTGTGGAATTTCTCCATCAATAAGCTACAAAACATTTTTACATGATAGTTGATATCAGTTCGTGACGAAAACTAACTCTAATTTCTAATCCTGACCCCTAACCCTAATTGCTAATCTTGATTTCTAACTCCACTTAGAAGTGGGTAAGCAATTGATATTTATCGAGATCTTTTTTGAATCGCTCAAAGTTGTTTCTCTACTTTAGCCACACCGACTATGAAAGATAACGTAAAAATAATGGTACCATCAGCACATTAACTTTATATCTGGTGAAGACAGTATATCAGCGACAACGGGGTATAAAACACGTTTTAACGAAAAACGACCATAGATAGAATTTAAACAGGACTGCTAGACCAAGAGCTACTGAAGAGGAGAATAAACAGAAACAATGCTATCAATTGTGGTAATACCGTACAATAAAAACAGTCCAAATACAGATAAATATTAATCCCTAGAGAAGGAAAACATCGAATTCTACCAAACGAATTGTCTAGGATGAAGGATGCTACTCCGAAGATGCTGCCATACATACTTTTATATAAAACATGGAAATGGAATTAACTGATAAACGGAAGTTGAAGTCGATGAAATAATCGTGCGCATAAAAGCATTGCACATAATATTCACCACAAATGAAAATGAACAAAGTTTTTTGGAGAGGACCATTAAACATAGTCTTGTACACATTTGAAAATGGATGTGCTACTTAGACCATCTTAATGTGCTAAATAGCGTTTTCATTCACACTAGTCTTAGACACCCTACATGATTTCGAACCATTTAATAAAATCAACAAAAAGGGAGGAACTGGTTGTTTATCAATAATCCGTAAAAATTTTGATTAGACAGAAACATTCAATTGCTACTAGCTTAGATATGGTAAGAAGTGAACCATACTGTTATTCATGCATTCGTGCACATATTGGTAAATAAACAGAATCTCTACACATAAGGAAACAGCGTATAGCTGCATCTGTTCTTAAATCATAAACACAAATGAATAATAAACCATAATAACTAGCATATACGGATCTCTGGTGAAATGTTGTACACGATGAGCAGCGGTGAGCGGCCAAAGCAAAAGAGATGGAAAAGGTAGAGGTGACAGGTAGCAGTCAACAACTGTTCAAACTAATCAAGGAAACAGGTCTTAAGAATCCGGCTACTTGTCATACGATCACGGAAAAAGATGCGGATTTTATTTACTCTCAACCCAGGGGATTGAATCGGTGGGCAGAACACTAAGGAACAATTTAACTAACCTTCGGCCATACTTTAGTTACCCATTATTTCCAAGCAATCTGAATGGGAAATTGCTGTAATTTATCCAAATATTAGAAGTTGAACGTGGATCAATATACCAAATATTCAGCCTTCGGCAGATTCTGGAAAATGGACATACTTTTCGATGTCCGACTACAGTTGCATTCCTTGACATTAAGGCAGTGTTCCACTCTGCTGATTGTGAAGTTCTCTGATAATGTCTGCCGTTGAAAGGCGTACCAGAGAAGTACATTAACCTTGTACAAACTCTCTGCTCAAACACTACTGGGCAATTTAGAGCTTATGGAGGACTGTCATTGGAATTGGGTACTTCAACAGGTGTTCGTCAAGGTTGTTTGCTTTCTCTTTATTTAACTTTGTGCTCTGGGACCACTGGGTAAGTAATGCCTGAGTTAGGAATAGGGCAATAAGTAAAAATTGCAAACCAATTGATGAGATAGTTATTGTTCATCAACTGAGGTGATTGGAACATATGTTACATATGCCCGATCACTGCCTACCTCAACGGGAGATGTTTTCTGGTGTAGGAAAGGCTGGAAGAAAACGAGGCGCGGTCAAACCGAAACATGGCATCAGTTCATGAAGTCGCTAACAATTGGACTTAACTATGATTTATATACTCTTCGATGTCCAAATTTTCATCCCCACTAATATTGTTACTACCCCTACTTTCTGAGATTCGGTCTGACAACATCTCTCTGAGCCCATTAGGTATGGGAACTTGAAGTGACGTATGTACGTACTTACCAGGTTTTACGCACAATCATAGTAGTTTAAAGATGCATAATTAAGTAGCGCAGAGAAAGGCTATGAACAAAATTAATTTGATTTAGTAAATTTTTAATTAACTACATCACTGTTTCGGTGAATGTTGAGAAAACTTTGGTTCTAAACCGATAGAAAAACGAAGTAATGTAACTTTAAACGTTTAAAACCCTATATATGTAGTATATGTTTAGAAGAAAACGTAACTACGAACAGAATTGATAGTAAATACATGGTCCTAGCGTAAATGCTTACAAAAGCTGTGAACATAAAAGACGTAAAAAATATTTATTAAGACTCACCTAAACTGTTCATCACGATCCTGATTAGTACGTTTATTTTCATTGGTTTCAGCAGTTGTATTACTTCGAGATGACGCATCGACATTAGAATCTGTATGTGTTTGATTTATGCCTTTAACTTGGCGTTCTTTTTCTTGCTTTGCTTTACGCTTCATGCGTTTCCTTTCTCGTTTTCGAGCTTGCATAGCTTCTCGATTAGCTCGTTCCTCTTCTTCCTGTTCAATTTGTTCCAAAAGGCAATCAGCATTCTTCTTCGCCTCACCTTCTTGTTTTTCTTTAGCAGCTATAATAATTTCCCTGCACTGTTGACAGCGTTTAGCCAGCTCCTGAGTTTTTTGAAAGAAAGCAGAATCGAGATTATTAGTTATGCTAATCGATGTTTTAATAAAAATTCATAAAACATACAAGACATACTTCGCGGTATGAAAAAATCTGGAAGTGAGTAATGAACTGCCATGTTGCTTACTTGTATAGAGATACATCTATCAAAAAAATGCATCATCGAAAGATTAGCGAAATCACCAGACTGGCGAATTACATACTTTCGCAACATAAGACGTACTAAAAAACATCATTAGAAAATGAGGAAATACAATATGAAGGTAATATGCTTATTTGAGTGCCATTACAGGAAATATGATATACCGTTACTTCATATACATATTAAAATATATAGGGAATCTTCATACAGGCAATTCGAACAAGTAGAATACAAGATGAGTAGTGAATAAAGAACTCGATCTTAAAAAACAGACATGTTTTAGTTCCTTCATATCAAAATGTAGGCTCTTGAGATCACAATAACCTAAAAGGTAGTGAAAACAACATTATTATTTACCCTGCTATTATTAGTGTATGAAAATAAGGAAATAAGTTCAATACCACTAAACTTTGGTCAATACACACAATAACGCATGTTCATATACATGATAAATAAAAAAACTATAAAGCAAGTCTTTTGAATGTTTGATTTTACTGAAACAATTTACAATGTTACTTACATCAGCAGTATTGGGAATAAAAACAATTTCACGTACTTTCAATTGCGAAATGTTCCAAGATGGATTTTGTGGTTACCCATATCTAAGAATTGTAGGATACCATCTATGTTGTAAGAAGCGAAAGTTTATAGTTCAATACTGCCTAGGATAGCAGGATAGTGAAAATTCCTTAACTATGACGAAATATCTACTTAATTTTTTCTAGCTGATGTTATACCGTCATTGAAAATTTTAAGTTGGACATTTACTCAAAAATCATCTATATAAATATAATAATAAAAGCATTTAAAATTTGGTGATGATTATACTAAAAGCAAACAGCTACAAGCAGTATTTATACGTAAACCCCAATTAAAATTATGATACCCAAAATTATGAAATTTCTTACCGGATTACAAAATGAACAGTTCCCAGACGAAAATGAATCAAAGCTAACAGAACATCCACTAGACGAAGAAATCCTATCCGTACTATGAACAGATGCGACATCATCCTCCAAAACGAAACTCTCATCATCATGTGTACTACTACAATAATCCTCATTCGATATGGACAGGTTTTGTTTTGAGAATGTACAGGATAAATTAGTAAGTAATAAATCCAAGTCGGGTGAGTTTTGAGGGGATTGGAAGCTAGCTGATATAGGATTTTCATCACACAAAGTCAGAGGAGCAACATGATTAGGCGGAGGATGGGAAGTGTTGGTTAACGCATGAGGTTGCCAGCGCCTTAGTGAATATGATGATGGATTTTGCGCTGCAATTTCGAAACGCGTACTTGCTATCACATTGGTGGAATTATACTTGGTTAGGTAAAGATAATGTGTCATGCTGCTAGGGTATGAGAAAACAATGCAGTGACGTTGTTAAACGCATGCCAACGTAATGACCTGCAAATACTAAGAAAGTGTTTGAAAAGTTGAGCTAAGGTCTCACTAAAAGACGATATATCATAATCCAATAGCATTCAGGCAGGCAAATCTGCACAGGTTGCGCGAGTAAACAATGGCTTAAATCTGATTCGCCTAGAAAGCAGATGTTTGTTATTGGCAGACATGTTAGCCAATAGTAACATGGGGCTAGAGCACGTGATGTGAGACCAAAACAGACAGATCTCTAGGTCTTTAATTAACATTGACAAGGATAAAACTTTGGCTAATAAAAATGAGTGAGAAAAATACATCATCACATGTCTGATTAAAATATAGACACGCAAGGCCGACCAATCTTGATAGGATAATACAAGATAGAATAATGTAGGCGGCGAGGATCAGTGATATATGACAAAATGTTTGCCTACAAGTACTATTTATTAACACAACTGTTGAGTCCACTATACATTTTCAACAAAGCGGTGCATTAGAGATGTACTGTACATGTAGTTAATTAGTCGGGTTGTTAACTGCCGAAAATCAATACAATGAATTTGATTTCTTTTAATTACATGAGAGGTAGTCAGCTATATAGTATATGCAACAAATAATAGTTAGATGATCAATAACTAGCAAAAGCCTATCGAAGTATTATACCTAAGAATTACTCAAATTGTAACAAAAAACTGATAAATACAAATCAATGCGTGTTAAATTGAAACAGAATATAATTTGAATAAAATGGTTGATTTAGATATCCAATAAGATTACATGTGAAAGTGAATAAACTTCAGAAGTAACAACTTTAAAACTCACCTTGTCCGTTACTGCAGTTTTAATATGTCTAATACAATCCTTATCAGATGGGAACTGAGTTACATATTGAACTAACAAGCGCACCACATTAATGTGACCTTTGCGAAAAGCTGCCATTAAACAACTGACTTTTCTATTGTCTTGGCTATTCACATCTGCATTGTACTGGATAAGACTTTGAACGACCTCAAGGTGACCACCTAACAAACAAACAGCGATAATATATGGAAAACAAATATGAACATAAAAACGCACACACGAAATAAATCTGCGGGTGGTTAAAGAAAGATTCTTAAAATAAATTTATGATAGGGGTAACTTACCATTTGAAGCTAACCATAGTGGGGTGGCACCTTTTTTATTTCGTGCTTCAACAACTCCACCTCTGCAAATAAAGAGAACAATATACTACTTAAATTTGTCAGTAGTTGGCTGGTGGTAGTAGGAAAATTTAGGACGATTCACAACATTTCTGAGTTTTATTACCGTAATCAATTTATTTAAAAATACACGTTCACTTGGTAGAATCGGACTGAAATGTCTAGTCAACTAGTTTCCTTAACAAGTAGCTATTTTGATAAATTGTTGACAGTGGCTGTAATATAGCACTAAGCTACATAGTTTTTAAGTAAGGAATTAACCAAGAAAAATGTGTTAAACCCACTTTTCCAAGAGCAAGTTGACGAATTTCGCATTGCCTTTATCGGCTGCAATGGTCAGAGCTGTGTCTCTGGAACTTGGTACGGGTGACGCATTGACATCAGCCCCATGATCTAACAGGATTCTCCCAACTTCTACATAATCACCAGAGGCTGCTTCCATTAGAGGAGTAAGACCAGTTTTCGCACGATGTTCAATATTGGCCTTGCGTTCGACCAAAAGTTGTACAACTTCGTAACGACCTTGAAAGCATGCTAAGGTCAAAGCAGTATTGCGGTTAGTTTCAATGTGTGCGTTTATATCCGAGCCATGTTCAAGTAACAAACGAACAGCTGCAGTATGTCCATTCATAGAAGCTAACATAAGGGGAGAGATTCCAAGCTTTGAACCGGTTCTCGAATTTATTTCTGCACCATGACGTAGAAGCAATTGTATAACCTCAACATATCCTCCCGACGCAGCCAAACTCAGCGGAGTGTAATCAGATATATTCCGATGTTCTTTGTTGGCACCACGGTTCAGTAGTTCTTCGACGATCTACAAAGTAACACAGGATCAAAATACAACGTAAAGCAAACATTTTGTTTGTTTTAGTCATTATCTAAATAATTCTCAGTACACTGAGCTTTACAGAAGCAAGATTTCAAAAAGATTTAAACAAAAAAAACTCAGATAAGCAATGAGCAGTAGTGTAAGCGACTATCCAGGTGTTGTGTACGTAACAAAACGCCTGGCATTACTGGATATTCTCGTAATTTATGGTGACCAGCTTATGGTTATTAGCAAGTATAATTTCTTACTGTAATTAACATTAAAATGATAAGGTATATCAGATCGAAGGCTAAATAATTAAGCACGAAGAGGGGTTTAGATTAATAGATAGGAATGAATGTCATAAGTTTATGATCGAAAACTGACCTCTAATTTTCCATGAGAACACGCTATTGACAGAGCCGTATCTTTTGTGCGATCCACTTGTGCCTCAATGTCTGCGCCATAATCAAGCAGCAATGAGACGACAGAGCGCTGATTGGCACACACAGCAGTATGGAGTGGTGTATGTGATTTTTTGTCACGATGTTCTTTGTCAGCTCCACGTTCCAACAACAGACGAACAAGATCAACAAATCCCCCACTACACGCCAAAGTTAGAGCTGTCTCCATACTGGATTCAATACAAGCATTAACATCAATTAAAGATGGTACATTTAAGGGAGATATTGTATCTCCCATCATAGACAAGTTGTTAGAAGCAACTGCAGCCATGTCATTGGGTGACAAACCATGGTTCGGTATAGAAGCACTTCCAGATGATAGGATAGACTGGGGTCCGACTGGCAGAACTCTACTTCCACTTACTGGTAACAATGTTGGGTGTGTGACATGTTGGTATCCTGCCATTGCTGAGGGATTGTAAGCGATCGTTCCCGCTTGATTTACCATTAAACTATCGATGGAAATAGCGGACGATTGTTGTGGGACATGAAGTAAATTGTTGGAACCGATTAGATTATCTCCGCAAGTTGATACATTCAGAGAATGATGATGATGATGATGGTGATGCATATTGTTATGAACACCCATATGACTCAAATTCGCTACTGAAGCTGTCGTGGCTGTAGCATCAAACGCACAAGCAAAATGTGATCCAGGATGCTGAAAATAAAAATTGAACGGTTAATATTCCACATATACGACGATAAATTCAGTGATAAATCACACACTACGAACGAATGTTTGCCCTAATAGTAATGAAGTTACTAGAAAGTAATCGGGAGTTCACTTGAGATGCGTTTTGCCTGTATAACGTACTGTAGTTATGAATTAGTCGAACTCATTATTTAGAATATAGTTGCAGATAGGACTTATTAAATTGCTTCTAAATGAGTGGAAATCTGAACACAACTTAAACATTACTAACTGAAAATCGAAAACAGTTTAAAAAGGAAGTATGGATTGTACATGAAAATTTAAGTTCACGCAACAATACATTGGTGGGAACAATAATACAACAAAGTCGATAGAGCATCTTGAAGTCACTGGCAATTCGAATTCAGCTGTATCATTGCGGTCAGAATTTTCAAAAAATTCCTCGACTTCAAGCTCAGAGGCTCAAATTTTGGTTACATGATATTCAGCTGAGTCTACGAAGTCTACGAAAAACCAAACCCCACAAAGCACCAAACAATCTCACAAAAACCATTGTGGTTTTCAACTATAGCACAATAGCACATCAGATGCTCTCATAGTTATGAATCAAACTGTACGATAAATGTACATTGTAAAAGAAGGGGGGAAGTAACTTTTTTACACTTAATGACAATGAGACGGTTGTAGTCCGTAGAAGGAAAAAGGACATAACTTCCACGAAAACTGAAGAATTCGTTAAACAAGTCAAAGGTATCATTGTCTTATTAGTGTTGCCAAAGAAGGGTCTCAAATCATTTTATGGGGGAGTTGATAGGACGACCAAAAATTAGGCCTAACAGCGAATTTTCGATTGATTGGGGAATCAGTGACTTACAAGCTTATTTGCTTTAATCGCTTATAACATTTCATAACGTTTATTTTGTGTTGTCCTCTATGTAAGCACGTTATTTTATTACACAAAAAACTAATGCATCTGGTTAGTGTTCTTGTTTTGATTTTAAATCACTGGCAAGCTTAAGTCAATAATACAATCTGGTAAGCCCCCACCACTTAACAACATCGTATCATTGAGCTCATCTATTGATTAGTATTCTACTTATAACAAAGAATTAGGAAGCGATAATGAGAAATGGTGATGCAGAATCAAATTAATTTTGTCGGTCTGGAGAATGAATTTTGAAGAAATTCTATTCGATACACACGAACAAATTTTTGCCCCCAAATGCCCTAGTACGGCCGAGAATGAGGAGAGTCCGCTCTCCCTCTCGAAATGCTCTCACATGGCCGTGCGTATATAGCTTCTGCCAGGGAAGTGCTACTCACTGCCTTATCGTGGCGGGGGTGTTGTCTACGAAAATGAGAGGATGAAAAGTGAATGTCCGGCACTTTAACCGGGTTGGTGGATATGGAGGATCCAACTAGGGGAGTTACAAAACCCTGATTCCAAACCAATGGTGCACATGGGCTCCAGCATCCTGAAGGAACAAATGGTTTATGAACCAATCGTTGGTCCCTGGCTACCGTGGGACTGCATCTCCTTACGATGCTCCACTGCCTTGTGGATTAGACCTTCAGGTCGAAGGCTCGAGGAATGACCCCTTAAGGAAACCACCTGCTTCGCTTTGGGCACCCTGGCAGTATCACAGCCCTCACGCATATCGAATGAGATTTGTGTGGCGCATATGTATTTGGTGCCTCCTTGTACCAATATCTACGTGTTAAAATAAATAAATAAAGATGAAGACAACTAGTGTAGCAGCAGCCACTGTATCAGTAGCCTCAACATACACAAAGGAAACAGCAAGATCCTCAAATACAACCCAGAGAACACCAACCAAATCACACTTGATGGAAAAGCTCTGGAAGATGTGGAATCTTTCACGTATCTGGAAAGAATCATCGATGAACAAGGAGGATCCGATGCAGACGTAAAGGTAAGGATATGTAAAGCAAGGGCTCTATTACTACAACTGAAGAACATATGGAATTCAAAGCAACTGTCAACTAATATCAAAGTAAGAATCTTCAATACGAACATCAAGAAAGTTCTGCTGTGCGGAGCTGGAACTTGGAGAATTATCACAACCATCATCAAAAGATACAAGTATTTATCAACATTTATCTACGCAAGACATTCAATATCCGCCAGCCGGATACCATTAGCAACAGCCTGCTGTGGAAGAGAACAAACCAGCTTCTAGCTGAGGAGGAAACTAGGAAGACTCTGGAGATGGACAAGACATAAATTGTGGAAATCAACAAACTGCATCACGAGGCAAGCACTAACTCGAAATACTGAATGGAAACAGAAAAGAGGAAGACTAAAGAATACATTGAGTCGGGAACTGGGAGCAGACATGAAAAGAATGAATAGCAAATGGAAAGAACTGGAAAGGAATGCCCAAGATAAGGTTGAATGGAGAGTGCTGGTGGATGGCCTATGCTCCCCCAGAAGGGACAACAGGCGTAAGTAATTAAGGGTTAATATGGCTATAAATTAACCCTGTGAACACTAATGTGTGAACTGAAAACGCAGAATACCTGTAAAATGAACAAAGCTAAATAGTTATATGATGACTGCTCTAATATTCTAACTGTACTAAGGAGTTTGACTAATGTATAGTAGATAAAAACCGTACTCACGTGAAAATGACGATAACATGTAAGTATATCATGGTTTAAACCAGCTTCATGAATGACAGCTTGAGTTGTTGCAAGACCGACAGAATCCACCAGATTGCTTAAATACGAGGAATCAATGCAAGGTCCTAATACATCAGAGGTTTTATCCAATCCATAGTCGTAAGAATTTAGTGCAGGTAAAATAGACTCGACGGATGTTGAAGTTGTTTTATTGGCACGGCATAAGAAGTTGGCACTATGGACAGAAGACATTGAACATTCTGATGTTGATAATGCGGAGCATGATGAATGGCAAGAAGACATAACCGGTGTTACATTTGCAGCGGCACTAAAGTTATGATCGTTGGGGTCAGTGAGGTCTGGTTGATCATCAGGTACTGTGCTAAGTGTTGGGCCACACTCAGTGGCAAAAGAAATTGGTTCCGGAAACTGTGTATCACAGGAAGTCGAAAGCAGACCTGTCCACTGGGTGGTTTTAGACAAGACGGTATCAGCTGAAGATGTATGAATACATCTAGGTGAAAGGTGTTGTTCCAGTACTTCACAACCATTTCCAGGATACGAAGAATGAGCACGGCACTGTGATTGTTGATCAATTAACTTGCTAAGAGCCAAAACGGCAGCATTAGTACTCATAGCGATTGCCGTTGGAGAATCCAGATTGGTTCCATTTCGTTGACTAATAGCAGTACGAGCAGCACGGAGTGTGCTGAAGGGACACATGACAGCTTCAAATCGTTTGATCAATTCATCTTTATCCGCTTTCAAATCAGGCATCAGCTCTTGAAAAAGTGCCTTGAATAAAAGAAAGTAAATGAATGTTGACAAATCCAAAACTAGTATAAACATTAAAAAATTGCCTGAGTTTAACTACAGAACTGTCACCATAGTAAAAGTGGTTTTAATTCAGATAAGAAAAATATGTTGAATATTAAATTGGAAAGCTCACCAGTAGACCAGCACTAAAGTCATCTGTAAGGTCAATTGAAGATCCAGCAACCATGGATGAAGCACTGCTTCCACTGCTGGTTGAACTACCTCCACTGATGCTACCAATACTATTAGTTGTACTAGATGATGGTCCCGTTCCACTAGCACCTAGTGTTGCCTGAGTTAACACAGTTTGAACACTAGTTATCCCGGTAACTGAATCGACAGCAGCAGTGACAGAAGTAGTTTGAAAATTTAAATGCGCATTGTGAGCCATAATCGAACAGTTTGAAGGTAAAGTAGTACATGATCCATTTGTTGATAAAGAAGTTCCAGGAAGAAGCTCGAATGTATTGTTGTTTGTCAACAAAATCTGATCATGCAATGGTCCAGAAGTATGTGTGTGTGAAAGTATAGCGCTGACTGGAGGACACATAACCAAAGGTGCATCCACTGTAAGTCAATCAACATATGAGAGTAGCAGTGATTATAAGAAGCTTATGAGTTTATGAAAAGTCAGTGAGTTAGCCAAATACATTCATCTGGATTATGATTATGCGATCAGTAACTAAATGGTAGATGGTTGAGCTAATAAAGCTCTAAGCTTAATATACAACCTTAACTGTTCAGAACATTAACAATCCTTGAGGATTATTAGATGATTATTCGATTGAGACACATCTGTTTATCTGAGAAATTCGTTAGTTAAACGTGGAAAAACTTGACTCAAGTTTAAGGGATAGCGTTTTTTTATTGTGGGAGTTATGCTTTTTAATAGGATGCAAGCACTTATTAAGTGCAATTAATCAGATATATGCAATCTATAGTATAATGCCAACTATTAGCAAAACCGTTAACAAAGATCACTGGAGATTTATCATATTTAAACATACTACAAAAAGATCAACCTAATTCATATTAACATAAGACCGAATTCATGATGGAAAATGCCTCAAAGTATTAAACCACAACATAACTTACCCATAATCAAGAAAGAATTAAATAAGATGGAATTAAAAGTTTGGTTTTAGCGGATTATGATTGCGAGTAAATAGTTTACAAGCTTGTAGGCCATCTTTTTTACACGAAAATGAGTTTCAACCAATGGTCTGTTAAGAGGGAAATGTACTTTGTATACTCACTTGAAACTTGATTAGAATGTCACTTCATGGTGCGTGTGTAGCAATTAGTATTGTGATACACCTGCGTGATTTAATATAACTTTCGGACAGATGCATTATTCCGATCTTTCTTTTTACGGTCACCCATATATTTGTCCTTCTCAAATACTTTTAGCTTTGATCACATTTTACAAATGTCTGTACACTAGTACAAATGTATCTGTCCATCTCCTGTATTTATTAGATGATTTGTAAAGAAGAGTCGCCTTATTATTCTCAAAGTCAGTGTGCTGTTGAGCTCCAATGGCTTATACAATCATTGTATCTTTAGCTGCCTGGTTACCGAAATGAATTTATGAAATACAGACATCAGCAACACTTACATATCGACTTTGGATATACCGTTGTCCTAAGCACGTTAATTCAACAGAACATATACGAAGTAAGTAGGATTTTGTCTACATTATTAGTGATCCGAACAAATCGGAGTTAGACAAAGGGTGACTAAAGATATGTGAACATAACAAACCCTATTGTGAGTGTATATTAACATAAAATGCAAGGTCCCCGACTAATGATACAATTAATTTAACTGTGAAATCCCCTTGTATTTACTAACAAAAAATCTAGTGGGAAACAATGAAACGCAAACACATCCATGCTATAGATGTCAATGTAGAAAAGGGGAATGGGTGGGTTTTTTTCTACTTTAGGTTTGTTTTACGGTTATTTTTTCAGGAAAAGTTTTGATGAGCGAATGCATATCTACAGTGACTACAAAAACCAACCTGTATATTGCTTTTTGCATTAACCAGAGCATGTTTCACGTTGCTTGTTAATCTCTCAGCCCCGATTGGAATTTAGTAATACTAATATTGCTACTGATTGCACATCAGTAGTCAAATACGTTTTACGCAATTTAAGCACTAGGCACAAAATGTTTTTGGTGGACAAAATGTTTTCACTAGATAGCAAACAACCAAATTAGAGCGCAGTATTATTAATTTATATTTTTTGCCGGATTGGGATTAAAACTTCACCCAAGAGGAACTTTTAATACCCAAGATTTTACGCTACAGAAAGACAGTTTACCTAAAAGCAAGAACATCCAGTACATAAAAATAAAACTGATCATTAGTTAGTCATTATACTGATAGCTTAAGCATGTAAAAAAATACCTGAACTGGTAATAGCTGAGTTTATTGTATGATGCTGCTGTTGTTGATGAACTAAAGCAGCTGCCCCGGCTGCCCATCCAACAGCATATGCGTTGGCCAGTGCCGCATTTATATGAGTTGTGGGCTGAACAGAGTTAGTTGACGTAGAAAGACTGGAAGGAGCCTGAAACGAAAGTTGTTGGTGTGAATGACAGGAATGCGAATGACCTTGTGAGTGCATATGTGAATGAGATGGGTCAAGGCACATATCCATGTTGGTTATTCCGGAGACAGAAATAGGTAAAGGCGGAGGGGGTGGTGGCATGATAACATTGCCGATTGTAGGTACGCCATTCACGAGTGATTGATAAGCAGAACGCTGGTCATGAGAAAATTGGTGTTGAGTTTGATGTTGGTTCAATGTATTCGCAACAAGCTGAACAGAAGCATTTGGAAGCATGGACGACGGCTGACTGAGACATTTAGGATAGTCTAAAATGAGTCTCAGAACTGCTGGATTTCCAGAACGAGCAGCTTCGATTAGCATTGTAGAACCATCTCTTAACTGATATTGAGGATCAGCACCATGTTGAAGAAGGAACTCTACCATCTATAGGAGGAAATGTCAGTAAATAACAAATTAAGCGAGTTTAAAAATGATTAAGTTTCCTGAATGCATTAGACGTTCTTAAGATAAGGCAGTGGTTAAAATCCCAACAAACAATTTTGCCTGATTAATGTATAAAAGTGATTGTCATACTTAGAAAACCAGTGAAACGTTTATCTTAGCAAATGTACTGAACACTACTCTAAAGATAACCTACCTTTGCATGTCCGCCACTACAAGCTAACGACAAGGCATTGGCATCATTCTGTGAGGTAGGCTGGTCAATCGCTACTCCACGCTCTAAAAATAACTGGACAACTTCCAAATGACCTGTTCTTGCAGCCTTCATCAATGGAGTTCGTCCTCCTTCTGTCATAGCTCCAAAAACGGCTCCCCAGTCAAGCAACTTCTCGCAAACTTTGACATGCCCATTTTCAGCTGCATAATGAAGCGCCGTGTCTCCAGTGGCGGTCACTGCATTCACTAATGCTCCACGCTCCAACAAACGCCGGACAAGTTCCAGATGTCCCTCTTGAGCAGCTTCCATCAAAGGAGTAGAACAACCAACTCCACCAACTTCAATATCAGCACCAGCATTTAGAAGCATTTCACAGACTTCTATGAATCCGCCACAGGCTGCAAGCGTGAGAGCAGTTTCTTGGGTTTCCTCCGTTCTTGCGTTAACTTCAGCACCTAAACAGATCGCAAGATATTTATATGAAGGCAAAGTAACCAGAAACAATATAACCTGAGTCTTAATTAGCACTTTCGTATAGTCGCTTGTTGAACCAAATAACATTTCAAATGTTAATATGCATCTTAAGATTTGAATTTGATATTATCGTATTATACGATTGAAAATATTTGTGGTTTTTATTTAAGAACTAAAATGCGATATGAAGAACTACTATGAAATTCAGGTTGATAGGGGAATAAAGAGGAATAAACACAGAGAATAGGGTTCTAAGAAGAAAAAAAAGATGAATTTGAGGAATAAGTATGGGATAACAAAATCTACGGGAACGGATAACACAACCCTATTAAATACATAATACAGAAAATTCTCTTGGATTCGCTGTTTGGTTAGGTGAGAAGACTTGACAGGAATACAACACACGACACATGCTAACAGCAGGTCGGTCAGTTAAGGAAAGAATTGACATATAATTAGCATCATTAGTGATAATGACGCAAATATTCAAGACAAAGTACATTAATGCAGATTGTACTGAATTTTTTTATTAAAAATTTACAGAATAAATACTCATCAACTCACCTACTGCAAGCAATAAAGCGACAGTTTCTTCATGACCTTCTCTTGCAGCTTCCATTAAGGGTGTATAGCCCTCGTCATTCACCTCTTCAATATCTGCTCCATATCCAATTAACAGATGTGCAAGCTCAGTATGGCCTCCACAAGCGGCCAAAGTTAGAGGGGACTCGAAACTATCTTGTGGTATGTTCACGTTCGCGCCATGAGCAAGGAGTAATCGAGCAACTTCGACATGACCTTCCATTGCAGCTTCCATTAGAGCAGTGTGCATTTCATCAGTACGATGTTCGTGATCGGCTCCTGCAGTCAACAGGAAACGGACCATTTCCGCATGACCCTTTGAAAAAAAGCACTACCAGGATAAGGAAACATCTACTTATTCAGTTCTCGAGTGTTTGATGTGAACAGCATTAGTAGAAAAACTTGTAACACTACATCTTTTTAATAGTTCTTGTTCTTTACATATGCATTAACGACATTCAGTAAACCATCTGTGCGAACTGTAAATGGATGCAATGTAGATTCACGCGATAAACTGTGAACTCCATGTTATAAAGTTCGATCGTACTATTTTTGCCCCAAAATTCAAGTAGATAAAGTCATATTCGAGGGCATGGCTAACTGGCTAAGACAGGTGTTTAAAAGTATGGGCTGAACCTCTATGCAAAGAATATACCAGACAAGGAAACGGGGAACAAATGGGGTTACTATGCTAAAAACAACACTTCAACCAGCTTAAATATGGAGTTCACACTGTTTAAATAGGAAACACTTGGCGTAACAGTCTTGCTAATGCATCCATGAGTTACGACTCTTTAAATCTAGGTAGTGGTTTTAGAACACGCGTCACTTATACTTGATGGTATTGATTATGGAACGTAATGATGAGCTAAATTTGCCAGACCGCAATCCCCTGATATAAGTAGACGGTAACACCAGGGAAAATTGATGGCCAGGAACATATTGATTACAAATACAAATATTTCATTTATAGGAAAATGACTGTTGAGAGGGACACCCAGACGGCAACTATCCAACTGTAACTCCTATCCAAAATTGAGACGAAACATAATTGACTCAACGCACGAAACAAGTCTATAAATTAGATGAGGCGTTATGATCCTGTTATTTGATACAAACGGAATAGGACTACGGATAAAAAATGGTACTCGGGACTACACCGTCCTTTTTACAAACTAAAAAACTGTAGAGTAGTATGCTCGCAGTCCGTTACATGAACCGTAAGACAGCATTTAAACCCTTAACAGTTGTTTTAGATCTTAACTTCCTAACACCTAATAAACGTGCACTGATGCTACTATAAGCCAGTGTCCAAAGGATCGAATTATACGGAAAGTTTTGCTGATAGATTTCAATAGGAATATCGTACACATACTTTGTAGCTTGCCAGAGTTAGTGCGGATTCTTTGAATTCCGCTGAATGTGTGTTAATATCGCATCCATGCTTTATAAGGCAACGAGCGACGTCTACGTGCCCGTTACTTGTAGCTTCCATCAAAGGTGTATGACCAGTATCATTTTGAACTTCCATTGGGCTATTGTACTGTAGTAAAAGACAAACACACTCCAAGTGACCGGAAGTAGCAGCATAATGTAGTGCAGTATTTCCTGTGTTCGACTTTTGGCCAACACATGCTCCATGTTCCAACAGCAACTTCACAATATCAGTATAACCAACACTAGCAGCTTCCATCAATGGAGTGCACTCAACTTTCTTACCACGAAAGTTTGGATCAGACTACAAATTGAGTATTAAAATACCAAATATGTGAATGTACCCCATGTTTTAACAACATCTCCACAATTCGCACAGCATTCGAGGATATGGCACACGTCAGTGCAGTTTCTCCATCAGGTGCAACCTCGTTTACATCGCACTCGCCCGAAAGAATGAGAAGTTTAACAGCTTCATCGTCACCGTTGATACACGCAAGAATCAGCGACGAGGTCCGTCTGACAAATAAACCCTGGAAAATGTTAATTTACCCATCATCGTCGTTCATAGACAAAACAGCGACCTCTTTCCTGATTTCATTTAGTACTTCGGTATCTGATATTCTCCGGCCATCTTTAATCAACATGTTTTCAATCCCAGCAGCTTGAAGAAACTTTCTAAAGTTCAGCTGTGTTTCAGGACATAAATCCGGCATGGAATTCTCGAACTAAAAACAAGAATGTTGTCGGAAAGGCGTGTTTAGATAGTATATGTAAGTGAATATTAACATTTCAAAGCTGGACGTTAAGGTGAATACTCAGGTTAACATGAGCATAGTAAATTACTGGTGAGAATAGTGAAGATAAGACATGATCAGTAGCCTAAAACCAGTACAAACAAGTCCCTAACCTTAAAACTCTGAAAATCCCCCATTTTCAAGCATCCAACCTAACGAAGTAACGTAACTACACACCGAATCACTTCCAGTCGAATGTACCACGGTGTAGTTAAAATGAACCTGTGTGCTCACCATTACCATGTGCTTTGGTAGTCATTGAGAATATACTCTTTGTAGGCTTGACTATATAATTATTTATAAAAATGATTTATATTGATATTGCATATTTTCATAATCCCAGTAACTCAAGAGATGTATGTTGCGTTCAACGGTTCAATAAGGCATAATTGTCAGAAATGATAGGTGAACTACGAACCGTTTGAAGGATAAGTATGAACGGAAGTCCACTGCAGTGGTAGGAAACAGCTTCAGTGTCAAAATCACCCAGGATATGTTGTTTTGAAAACTGTCATTTGTAGTCTCAAAGATTTTGGAATTAGACTAGATGTTCGACGAAAAGGACTAGAGGTATCTTTAATAAATCCATCACTATGTAGCTGAAAATGAAAACCAAAGGAAAGATTAAAAGATCACAAACAAATGGAGTATGAGGATTTCATGACCTATTAAAGGTATTTACAATAAATCAGGAGGGTTATTACACCATAACTCAAAAACACGCGAGAAATAAAAACGACATGCACGAATCGCACTACTGTACCTAGAATACGTCTTCTCGTGATAACGCAATGGGAGTATTACTCATGGCAATCATCACGACGGAGACTTGAAATTAAGTTCATTGAGTTATTTTAGAAAATGGGAACGATAATAGTCTTTCAGATTTGAACAGAGTACAAGGACCATAGATGTTAAAGAATTTATGAGAATTCTGGTCTGCAGTCTATGCTCCATGGGGAGTAACAGGCGTAAGTAAGTAAGTAAGTAAGTAAGTAAGTAAACAGTTCTGTATGTCCTCTGCATTGATGCTGATCTAATCAGTTTTACTAGACATGCCCTAGCTGAAGGCATCCGGTCATGCATCTGCACCAGATCACGAGTGAGTGTGTGATGTTACGCATCTCTTACAACTGCTAGCCAGCTTAGATCAAACGCTTCTCGACATATCGATAGCTTTCTAAATATATCATTAATCTCTTTCACTTATGATTTCTGAGCCCGAGTTGATCCGGTACATAAACAAGAGACTGTGAGTCTATTTCATGTTATGACATTATATATCATCTTTCAGTTATTTCTTTTGCATGTAACGACATTATTTTAATGTTTTCGGAAATTTTCTCGCCGGTTTATATATATTGTCTTCATTATGACGGAGCAGGTACCTAAGTTGTTTAGGATTAAGACTATTCCACCTCATGTTTTTTAACTCATGCCATTCTGGCCCGATGGTATCAAAGCCTGGCTCAGCTACGCAAAAGTTGATTTCGACGAACACAACGTGACAAACACACATGCACAGTTCCTCGTAGCAATCAAGGCACTGCCGTGTGATTTTAACGAGTACGTCACACCCAGTGTGTTCAATAGTGACGTTTCTGAATCTAAAGACATTTCGAAGAAGGTTATTCTCAAACGTGGAGGACTGACCGATCGACAAAGTTTGGACCAACTTTCTCACAACATTCAGCTTCAGCATGGCTCAGCAACAGAAGTGTTACCACGTATGCGTGAGTTCACTGATCAACGGACCCTTGATGAGGCCTGTTTAGGCAGCTCTTCTTGTCCAGGCTTCCCCACACGGTGCAGAAAGTCCTTGGCTCATTCCAAAACAACGTCGTAGATTAACTGGCTGCATCTACCGACTGGATTATGGAGACCATCAGACCATCACCAGACATTTATGTCTAGTCTTTTTAAACTTATGTTGAGAATTTCTTATTCTCTGAAAACAACCAACGTTATTTAGCTCAAGAGTAAAAAATAAAAAGGACCAAAAGTACTTAAACAATTGCAAATACTGATGATGAATCTTGCCCGTTTTTATCGGTTTGGGATGTATTTGTAGTCCTAAAAATCTGAACTTGGTGTGTTAGTAACTTTGATCTTAAACCCTCTAGTTTCTATCACACTACAGTTTACCACTTGTGAAATTTCTCCCTGAAAAAAAGAAATTGAAGGTCCGTTATGTAAACTGCCACAGTGGCATTTGAACCAACATTTTTGGGTAGATATCTCACATATAACGAACAGAATCACGGTTCATATATTGGAATTCGGCTTACTTGTTGATTGAGCCAAATTTCGTGCGTTTATCAATTGACTGTACTTCAATAACGTATGTGAAGGTTATGGAGACTGTATATGACCTAATGGTAGCCTAATACAAAAAGTTAAACGAAAACTTAATGCCTAACTTCAAATAAAACAATGTACAGCGAAGATGGAAACTGAATGATACAGTTAAGTAAACGTAGAAAACTAACGCTTAAAAATGGTATAATATGGAATAGTTTAGCACATATCATTGTTTGCCTCCACACACTGCCATCAAGTAATTTCAGTTATGTCCACAACTAACCAATCAAATCGTTGTTTAAGCGCTCACCACGTCAATCTGGTCTAGTGTGTCTCTAGACAATCTAATTGCTTTTACGTTTAGAAACAGATAAAGTTCAAAGCCAAGTTGTCCTTGTTCTGACTATAGCTTTCACATGGACTCTGGGGTCACCAGTATCGCGTTTGTAGTTCTAGTAGTATATATATGTAGAGCAAATTAAATCCCACAGTTTTCTCGGTTAACCGCAGAAAAATAATGGCCATTCCGTTGACCAATATCTGTTTCTTAACAGATGGAATAGAACGCGATCAAACGAAAATGGTCATCAATATTATCGGTGAGAAAGGAACACTGACGGTATCTGATTTATTGCTACTTTGTTTTGATTTCCGAGAAAATAAACCAAATCAGGTTGAGCTGTATGTGTCCAGTGTTAATATTGTCTACACTTATTTTGTGACGTTGCTATGTGTGTAATATTATACATTGAGAGAGTTTAGAAAAATGAGCTGACGCATTCACACACTTGTGTTTGTGAACCTTGCAACACTATGAGAACAAAAGGAGTGTCAATAAACACTACATCAAAATATTCCTTCTAAAGATCAAACATGACTTTGATCACAGTGATGTAGTCAAATATCTATTAAAATATTCGGAAAACCGTTATCTTAGCAACAGTCGACGATCAAACCATGCTCTGTCATTTTTAAAACCACATATAATCATATTTGACGAAGAATTGAATTTCACATTTGCATTCTATTCCTTATATCGTATTTGGGTGCTATAACCTACGTAATTTATGAATTTACAGGATATATTCAGACCTCTACCTAATATTAAGAGATATATATAATGGTGTATGATAAAGCACTATACTCACTATTTTTTATAATATCTTTTAAATTGTATTTCGATGCTATAACTCATTTTATTTCCAAACTTACCTGTACAATTCGGTGAGTCTCTCATAGTTTTTGGTCAGTATTTTTATCCAAAAAGCTGTTTCATACGTTTGGTCAGAAAGCATCACGATAATCTTAGATAGTAATGATCTTTTAAACTACTTTTCTCTGCACCCCCTTAATTTTTACCAGTTTATATATGAACTATATACCGTACTCACTTTGATTGTTTGATAGTGATTATCGACAGTTCGAAATTACTTTATTATAGAAGGCTATTTTTCCGTGTAATATATATGTTAAAATGTACACAATGTACACCTTTATGTTCCGTTTTGCCTCTACACATATACTGACATACATACTACATCTCCACTACTATCTTACTGCCATTTTCTCCTCTTGTTTTTGAAACCTTCACTAATTCTCACGATCCATTCACTCTTGGTTAAAACATAGGTTTTGATTTCTTGATTAACTTGAGCCCTCTGCATTTTTACGCATTTCTATTTCCTACATTTTGTTCAATCCATCTTCAGTTTTACACTTTCGTATCGTCCCACAAATATAAAGGCAGTCCCCTGCTTCTAGGCGTACAGCCAAACGTAAGAAAACGAAGTAATTTGACACCAAAAGCGACACGATTTCCGTAGTTTCAACGAGACGACCTACTCTATTCATCCGGAATCAGACAAGCCTATATTAGTTGTCTCCATCCCTGACTTGTTGAAGACTTTATTGGTAAACAGTGATGACAATCACAACTACAACCACATGGATGGTATAAGAAAGTGTCAAGTTGACATGAAAATTCTCAATCTGCTTAAGCATATCATCAACACCTACGTCACAGTGACTCCAGATCGAATGAAGGATATAAATAATTTCTTAGATTGTTTTGCTTCAGAGATATTTGAAAGAATAAGATCTATCAGCACAATTGTGTTTAATATACCGGACACATATACCCTTAAAAATATTAAACCTAGTCTGCTTAGAGCAAGCAATATGACACATGTACCGTGTGTGTGCACAAGATTAAAATGAAGTCACCGTAGTATGTACTAACCCAGTTCGCTCAAATTTGACTTCTCTGTAGACACCAGCGAGTTTCCAACTTTCTCCAATTCGATGAGAAAAAAACAGATATTCAAGGATATTAAGATTCTTGCAGATGGAATTCCATGCCAGCGGAAAGCAGGGAGAGCTGGTTATAGACCACCAGCATCAAACTTACAAACGCATCATAATCCTAATGGTCATAAAACCGAGTCCGATTGTAAGACGACATCTAACTTTATAAATAGGCCACCACTATTAAACTATCCTGAATCTCTCAAATTTCAAAATGAAGAAGGTAATCCCGACGTTGATGGTGCCCATCCTCCTCAGATTGTTGATTTAGATCTAACTCACAGTAGTTGTTCTAATGACGAATGGGATAACACACTTCAAATTCCTGTCAGTGCAACACCCAGTTACAGTAATTGTGCAGCGGATAATAGGAAAACTGGTCATAACATTTATATAACTGACCACCCACAAGTATGTTTAATAACACTCGATTGTCTCCAAATTACGGAGCCAAAAAAACACAAACCTCGAAAATAAACGTCTAGAAAGTTTTACCATACGTCAGGTATAAAGACTAATCCGAACTGTAAATTGCCACTTGGTCACACACACAGATCTTATAACCTTCTTGGTCTGGCTCCCGATACGTACACTATGCATTTCTCATTTTTTTATACTTAATAACAATGAGAAGACGTTTTTGTAATTCTACATGCTTTTCTGCCGACAACGGTAAATATATTGCAAATGATGATAAATTTGTCGAATCTACTTCCCCTCGCAACACAACGCTTACATTAGACAATCCTATGA